AAGGCATCAATTCTCCTTCTATCCTCCTTAGTCATTGTCCAACTCTCTGATGTATAATAAGTGATTGCAAAGACCATGGCCTGTACCAGAGGCACCTTTGTCTCCAGAGAGACACCATTGCTCTTCAGTACTTTAGAGAGGTCCCTAACAGCAGACTTTCCCATCGCAATTGTCTTTTAATTTCCTGGCAACTGGTGCCAAGAGTGTTGATTGTGGAGCCAAGCAGACTAAAGCAGTGAACAATCTCAATCTCTTCACCATCTATCCTGATGCTGCCAATTGGTCCAGTGGTTAGAATCTTTGTCTTCTTGACATTGAGCCTCAATCCCTATTGGAGGCTGCAGCCCTTGACCCTCAGCAGCAAGCGCTTCAGGTCCTCCTCAGTTTCAGCAAGCAGGGTTGTGTCATCTGCATAATGCAGATTATTGATGCAGTTGTGTGAAATTGAAAGACACAATTAATTACAAGAACATTATAGCAATATACCACAATTAGAGCTAATTTAAAAAATAACTTCTAGATTTTTTTGTCATTTAAGCTATGTATATTATATCCTTATGTCCAAAAGACACACATGGCAAAATCTTCTCCCATGTGATTTACAACCTCTGAGGGTGAGCTATGAGTCTGTTCTTGAGAGCCATGAGCTGAGGTGAAGATAAATTCTAAACCTTAGAATGCTCTCTCAATACTGGTGTGCCCAAACCTACCATAGTAAGTATAATGTTTCCCAAAGTTCAGTAAATCTTTTTTTCTTTCAACTCTTTATACATTACCAGAGCTTGTCAATATAAAGTTAAAATTAATGGTATAATAATTTGATCTCAATTTAATATTTTTCTTTCATTTTGAGAAGTTAATTCCATGTCAGCAAAATCTTAACTTTGAAACAAATATTTTTAAAATCATTTTCTTTTATGACACTTTCCGTTGAACTCCTTTTTTAGATTTTTCAAACACTTTTAAGATGTAAATGGATTTCAAATTAACTTCAGAATTAATTAGAATTTGATAACAAGGATTTAAATAGATTTTATTTAATATTGAATTTTTTAACTAATATTAATTGTCATTCTGAAGTTCCACCTGACATACTTTGGGTATGTTGCAAGGATGAGAATAGTTCTTAGAGAGGGACATCATGCTTGAGAGGGTGGAGGGACAGCTCAGGAGAGGAAGACACTCAATGACATGGATTGTCTCAGTGGCTGGGCTAATGGGATAGGTATGTCACAGACTTGGCTCAGCATAGAGCAGGGTTCAGAGCTGTTGGAAATAGGGCAGGGACCTTGACGACACATAACAACAACAACACATTAATAATTGTCTAATAATAATTTTGTCTAATAAGGCAACTGTCAATGATTTCATGTGACTTGTTCCCTTGTTACCAACAATCAGGAGATCAGAATATTCATTGCTCTGGGCAAATTTGCTGTCAGGGACCTCTCCAAAGTACTTAAGAGCAATGATGTCAGTTTGAAGGGTAAGGTGAGTCTCAGTCAAGTTTTTTCAATTTCTTACTTTGCATCTGAAAGTTGGGCAATGAAGAAAAATGACAGAAGAAGAATTAGTGTCTTTGAATTGTGGTGTTGGAGCAGAACACTGAGTGGATTGCCAAAAACCCAAATAGATATGTCTTGGAAAAAAAAATGCAGCCAGAGCACTCTTTAAGGCAAGGGAGGCAAGGCTTCATTCAGTTCACAAAATTAGGGCATGTTGCTAGGATAGGTCATTCTTTGGAAAGGGATATCATTCTTGGAAAGGTGGAGGGTCAGCATAAGAGAGGAAGACCCTCAATGGGGTGAATTGACACAGTGACTGCAGCAATGGGCTCAAGGGTATCAGAGACAGTAAGGATGTCACAGGGTAGGAGAGAGTTCAGGTGTGTTGTGCAAAAGGTCGCTATGAGTTGTACTACACTCGATAGCGCCTAACAAAGCCAGCAGTATGTTATCTAAAATGTTATAATTAAATGCCAACTTTTTCACTGACATTAAATTTTTCAATCAATGTGCTTTCAGATGTATTATTAATGGTTCTGAAATTTAGCTTAGTTCCCCCACACACTGAAAACATCACTCATGGTTAATTATTTCCTTTGAAATCTAACCATAACTTTCCTGAAAGGCTTTTACAGTTTCCAAGATTCATTTGACATATGCCAGTTTTTCAATAGAAAAATCATATTTTGTATCATTCACTGCTAATACACCACAAAGATTTTTGCATTCTACTTGCATTTCTAATACAAGGTGCACATTTTTTTTTCATGTTATTGGCACTCAAGTACAGATTTTCTCAAATTACTTTCTGAAAACTTGTTTGGCAATATTGGATCAAGTTGTGTTTGAATGAATTCCCAGGATTCTCTTAAAAACGCCTTCAGTTCTGCACCCGTTTTTGCATCTTTACTAACTCATCGAAGCGTGTGCGTGGTGCACTGTATAGACCGTGTCACTTTCTCCATGCTCTGTGGTGGTTAATGTCTGCAAGTTAGAATGCACAACTCCTAAAATTGTCATTTTGCCCTGATATGTGCCTTTCCATTTCACTATCAGTTCTAAGCAAATAATATGAAATCATATTAGAGCCATTATACATGGTTATAAAAGAAATCTCCTGCACATCTCTAAAATTGGACGCGTCTTTTTATGTAGACTTGTGTCTTTCTTTCATTCTTTTCTTCTCAGTATCAACAGCTATCTCTCCCTTTTTCTGTGAACTGAGCTTAATTCCTAGACCTTACAGACTCAGTCTGCAGGCAAAATCCACTTTCAAAGAGAAATTTCTTTTTTTTTCCAGATTACTACTAAATTTGGAGCTAAATTTTAAAGACAAGTGAAGTTATAGTTTTTCTAATATCTTTGAGCTGAGTAAAAGGGTTTTTTAAAATTAATTTTAACGAACAGAGACTTTGGATTTCTAGTCATTCATTATTGCACTTTTCTCCCTGTCTATCCTGCAGTAAAAGGTTTTGATCAACTGAAACAATAATTTATCATAAGATTCTATAGCATCCTGGATATTCAATAAACTCACATCAACAACTGTTAACATTAGTTAATTAAAAATATTATTAAATTGAGTGTTTTTTTCCTGAGGTCACTGAGGGATTTTATTCACACTGATTTTACTATAAAGTGTTGTTAAGGTAGAACCAGCTGTGCAGAGCTGAACAGGGACAAGAAACACAAGAACCAGGGGGAAAGGAAGCCTAGGTTGTGGTATAGAGCCTCTCTAGTCATCACACAAAGTTAATAAACTGGGAGATTAGGTAGGTAAGAACCATAGGAATGTGCAGAGAAGGTTCCGTGGATGAGAGGCTGCAAATTAAGCATATTGTTGTTATGTGCTACCAAGTCCCTATGACTCATAAAGACCCCATGAACAATAATAGGTCTGAACTTTCCCCTATGCTATGCCATCCTCATGACCCAGCCTGTTGTTACAGTCACTGTGTTACCATCTTGTTGAAGATCATCCCTTTTTTAAAATCTCTGATCCCCCTCCTTTCCTAGTATGTTGTCTTTTTTGAAAGACTGGCACCACCTTACAACATGTCTAGAGCGTGTGAGACGGAGTTTCACCATTCTTGCCTTTAATGAGCACCCTGGTTTCACTTACTCCAAGACAGACTTGCTTGTTCTTTTTGGCAGTCCATAGGATATTCAATACTCTTCTCCAACACCACAATTTACATTGGCATTGATTCTTCTTCTTCTTTTTTTTTTAACTGGTTTTCCCTCAATCACTCATCCACATTTTGTTTCATAATATTAATTACAATTGGGCAATGCCATTATTTATGGCTTTTGAAATCCTCCCTTTCCTTACATTCTACTCATCCATTCACTAATCTCTGCATCCACTTTCTTCCCTTCCATCCTCATGAACCCTCCACAATTGTTTCTATCTGTATCTAAAACATTCCCTGTTTTCATGAGCCGTCAAGTCAGAACCAACCCTTAGCAACCAACTCTAGCAGGTCTTCAGAGGCAGTAAATCACATGAAAGGAGACTGACCACCCAGCTTCCTCCATGAATTTGAACCTTGACGGGTGGAATTGAACCTTTGTGATAGCAATACAGCTTCCTACCACCAGGTCACCAGAGCTTCTTGAAACTTTCCTTGGTATTTTTTTTTTTTTCTTTTTCTTTTCCTATCACTACCTGTTCAATCAGTTATACATGTCTTGTTGTAGATTGTTAATTGCAATCTACACACTGTCTGATATCCATGAATGCTTTTTTAAAATTTTATTTTATTTTTATTTTTGTGTGAGT